TTGATATGATAAAGGAAGGAAAAGGTTATGCTGCTGCAGGATGCCATTACGGAGTGAATGAGAGCACCGTGCGTTACATAAAGAAAAAATGAACAAGCAATCAGAGCTAGTGTAGATACAAATTTTTGTGGAAGTGCTAAGATGGTGAATGTTGTAAGAAACAAGGCAATCGTGAGGATGGAATCTGCCTTAGCATTGTGGATACAAGACATGCGAAAGAAAAATATCCCTTTGGACACCAAGATCATTCAAAAGAAGGCATTGAAATTATATTCTCAATTCACTGAAGGACAAACAGGACCATCAACAGCAGCTGATGCCGAAGAATTTCATGCCAGCAAGAGTTGGTTCGATCGTTTCCTGAAACGTTACCAACTACAATTTGGAAAATCCCACGGAGAAGCTGCATCTGCAGACACAGAAGCTGCAGCAAAGTATCCTGAGGCCTTTAAGAAACTCATTGAGGAGAAGGGATACAAGCCAGAGCAGGTCTTCAACATGGACGAGACTGGGTTGTTCTGGAAAAAAATGCCTGTAACGGGTGAAGATTTGGCAGAGTTGACGAAATCTGCCAGTGAAGAAGAAACAGAGGGCCAGGAAGAACCATCACAAGAGGAAGAAAACGAGGACGAGGGTCTAACTCCAGAACGGTTGGCTGAACTCATGTCAAAAGCAAAGGATTTGCAAGAGACTGCCAAGTCATGGGACCCTTACATGGTTCATTCGCTGCAATTCTCAAATGCAGTTGACTCTACCATGTCAACCTACAAAACTCTATTCATCACTATGAAAAAACAACGGAACCAGCTGCCAATAACCATGTTCCTAAAGAAGGTACCCAAAACGTCAAACCAAGCCACACCCGACTAAAGTAAGACACCTCCTTCTTAAAGAACGTAACCCCCGCGAATAGCGAGGGAATACTGTATATATATTTCGACATTTTATTTGAAACTAAGTGAGTTACCCGGCATTGCACGGTGAAAATTTAGATTTTAAATGTATAGATAAGTATTTTTTTCAGTAAATAGACAAAAGCTGTGATACGAGAAATAAAAAAAAGCACTTAAACAAAGCTTTATTTGAAATTAGATCGTGTTTGAGCTTGTCTTTTTCTTTGAGCCTGAAGTCATACATCATGTTGCTCCTCTGTTTCTTGATCTCTGTAAGTTATTTGTCTTAATTTTTGTGCTTGAAGTCTGGTTTGATGTTGTTCAGAAGTTTCTTGTTGTCTATATCCAGCTTGTCTTGATGATTCTGACTGAACTCTGGCTTTGTGCTGTTCAACAGTTTCTTGCTGCCTTTGAGT